CAGACTGATTTTGGTTAGTTTTTGTACGATGATTGATGATAATCATTTTCCAAATAATTTTGAATCACACTGTATGTATGCACGAATTATTAATAAATCTATTACAAATAAATTAAAAAACTCAAAGTAAAAACATAAATTATGCAGTAACAGTGACATCAACTGTATCTCCTGTCAATGCAACGTTTTCCTTCGTATCATCCTTAGGATTGTAATAGGTTCCTTCACCGGTCAATGTAATCGTATAACTTTTACCGGCTTCGTACTTGGCAGGGTCGACAACCCAATTTTTGGTTAGAGAATTTTTATTCTTCTTTGGGTCAAGATCGCTGCTTGTCGCTGTGAGCACCGTTTCGATTGCTTGTTGGGTATCTGTATCGACGACTGTTACGGTGGCTTGGTTGAATGAGATCATTCCTTCCCTTTTAATTTGCACTGTGATCGCTGTTGTCGAGCCTTGTTTTACGGAAGAGTCGTTAGCAGGTGCGGTTAAGCTTATTGTGTCTGCGATTTATGAATTTTTTTGTGATTAGGTAAAGGTTATGAATGAAGAAGAAGAAAGGAAATTTGCAATTCTGAACGAGTTTTATAAAATTATAATTACTCACCAGCATTAGCAATGCTCAATAACACCACAACCATCAATAAAAAACCAAAAATTCGCTTGGCATCCATATTTGTTGTATTTCTTGTTAAGTACTAAAAATCTTGTTTGCCTGTCTCATCAATTTAAAGAAATTAAAAGAAAGAAATTTATACATAAATTTATAATTGTCTTGAGAAGAAAAAAGAATAATTCGCAGACCTCAACGAATCAATAACGCGAAAAAATGTCTGACCTTTAATGAATTCTTCTTTCTGTTGTATTATTAGGATATAAAAATCAAGCAGCAAAAAAAGGCAGTAATGAAATGTGTATATTTATACATATACATTTAATTAATTTATTATATAAGCGCACTCGTGAGACTAATACAAGAAATTTCTTTTTTTGTGGACTAAACATTGTGCATTCGGTAATTAAATTAACAGTTATCGTGATGGAAGTAACATACATTAAGTAATATGCTTGGGGGGGGGACGTCATAATAATGCACTACTAATCATGACCCTAGCGTACCGCTAGAAACATGCATGCTTACACGACACGATACACGTACTACGATAAAAATTAATAATTGTTTCTTTTTTATGGTAAAAGCAATTAATCTTATATTTTTCTAGAATATGGCATTTGTTATATTTATATTTCCATTTACACTGAATTTAGTCCGACATAACTTTAACTATTTATTCTAATGTTACTGGTGACGAACTGAATTAAAAAATTACATTAAAAATATCATGTTTGTTAACACCTAAATTTCGTCCTTCCATACACCATGAAAGCCATACGGGACAACTTTTCCGTATTCAAATTCAGCTCTCGCAATTTCCTTAAAAGATTTTGCATCCAACACCAATAAGAAGCTTGTACCTTTTGTACCATCTAGCACAACACTTAACACCACCCCATCATCTTCTTCAACAGCGTTGGGAGCCGGAATAAAGATCGGTTCACTAGGCGTGCACGACCATTGTTCCCACTTTTTATGCGAGAATGATCCGTCGGGATTTTGATCGAGATCGAGTTTAAGTATTGTGTCAAAGAAGCGGGCATCGGGTCTAGCAGACATATTTGCTCCTGGGATTTTGGAATTTGAATTATTTTAGATTATTTCTTCGAAAAATTTAGTTACTAATGTTTTTAAAACACACCATATGCGAACCGATGCTTCTTTAAATGAAATCTCGAATAATCGATAGTCGTCAATTCGGTATTCAATTCCAAAGGAGCCTGAAACAATGTTTCGGCAGACGGCAATTTTTTCGCATCTTCACCAGCAGCAACTGACCATAAATTTTCTGATACTTTAGCAAGTCGATATCGAGTTAATCTACCCTTCAGTGCTAATGTTTCATTGGTCTTTATTTGACCTAATAACGCTGGTAATGCAAGGTCTTCAACAGGACTATGATCTTTATGTTGTACCAAGTCTAAAATGATGTCGTCATTTTCGTCCCAAGCGTTTAATGTATGAAAACAGAAGTACGTTGGAGAAATAAATGTTGCGACGTGATTTTGTTTGTCTCTGTCTATTACGTAATAGTAGGTGGATTCATTATGATTCCATGGTTTAAATGATTGTAGAAGGTTTTTGTTCCAGACTACTTTTAGCCCCTTCCATGCAAGATCGCATTGCCTTTTATAATTCAAATTTATAATCTTTGAAATTTTCAATAAAAAATTACGAGAATATACAAAGAAAATTAGTTACCATAAAATGAGAATAACATATTTCTTTGTCAGTGAAAAACTATGCACATATACACTCCTTGACGCTTTAATTTTATAAAGAATTTTAGTGATTGGTTTTCTCGTTTCCGGATCTTCACGAATCGAAAAAATCGTATATTTCGTCTTTGGACCATTCTTTTGTGTAAAACTAATATATTCTCCCGTCGAGGCATCATATTGTGGATGCGCGGGGGACATTTCGCCATTAAGACGTGGATCGTATTCCGAAAAGTTAAAGACTTTAATTGGTTCGATAGTGATTGGATCTAATGTTTTCAAGATGTTGGCGTCTGTTTGGGCCACGAGTTGTCGGTGTGTTTTCGCCGACATTAATGCTCTTTGGTTTTCCGGGAGCGGAAGCTCACGTGTCAATGTCACATTAGTGTTTGCATTAGTGTTTGCGTCAGTGTTTTGCGAGATGCCTTTTGCGCCGGTGATTACTTGAAATGATGTAGAGAACTGATTTTTGTTTAGACATCAATTAATTAGCTTTTGTTTAAACATAAATTAATTAGATTTTTTTAAAAATCAATTAATTAGATATTGAACAAAACAAATAGCTACAGAATACCTTATGAAACAAGCTCTCGCATGGATCTTGTCCAAAAGTAATAATATCAGAAACTTTCGAAATATTACGACTACGATACGTGACCTTTCCGTCACGGATTTCAAATCGATGTACTACCAATTAAGTATTGAATTTGAAAATTTCGAATTATATAATAATATTACACGTGTATATAATGTACCTTGAGCAAGCCCGTCAAACCAATGATGGATTTTAAACATGCATCTATTTTTCTCGATTGGGATTTCGAAAGTTCTAAAAAGAAATTTTTTTAGAAAAAATGATTTATGAAAATGTTATGTTCGTAATGTTATTTTTTTTTGATTTCTTACCCCGGTCCATTACGGTGTAAAACACCTTCCGCCCATTTTGGAATGGTCCCTTTTACTTGGAGCTCGATGGGTTCGGGTGTTTCAGGGTTATTTTGAAAGCCTATAAATTTTATCGTATTATATTTCACATCAAGAAAATATGCCTTTTTTCTAATATATCTTAAATAAAAATAATACCTTTCTCAAAAACCCATTGTCCATCAGATTGAATTTCAGTTTCCGTTGCCATACTTCGAATATTCAAAAAGAAAAATTTGCTATACTTTGATTGTTTTGGTTTAATAATTTGAAATAAACGATAATTCATGGGTTTTTAAATAGAATTCGGTTTCCATTGAAAATTTAGTGTCTTTCAAACTTCCTTTCTGACCGTTCCTGGAATTAACTTCGGTTTATCGGGGTTTAATTAGTTGCTTCGGTTTAACGAATTTTGATTGCACCTTAATTTTTGCCATTATCACCGATTCTTTAATACAAAAAATTATGATAAAACGAGAAAAATCAATGAAATTATACAGAGTCAAGGTCGATATAACGGACCAGGTCGGTTCATTAGTGAAAAAATCCGTTATGTCAATAGTATATTAATGAACCCGTTATATTGACGGCGATTTATTAGATCTCAATTCGTTATAGGCGTTATATCGATCGTCGTTATACGACGGTTATGCAGGGACCCCGAGCAGGGACAATGATTTTATGCAAATTGCATAAAACTAGTTTATAATGCATATATATTCACCACATAAAGAGAAAATACCGAAAAAAAGTTATTTTAAGGGGCAAACCAATAAAATCGATCGTTTATATCGATATAGTTTGGGAATATACTCTACTCTAAATGGAATTTTCTTTCAAGGGATTTTTCCGAAAATAACATTACTAAATATAATATTAGAAAATTCAGAATAATAAAGAGAAATTGATTAGTTAAAAACATTTTTATAATATTTAAAAAGAGAAATAATCAAATTTTTTTCATATTTTAAAAAATTATTAAAAATATAATATAAAATTAATTAATAGAATAGCTAGAAATTATTTTAAAATTTATAGATTATTTTATTATTTCTAAGTAATATAATCTGAATTAAATCAATTCAAACATAATTTAAATTTAGTTAATTCAAATTAATAAATATAGTCATCTTCTTAAGTGTCAATTCAAACATAATTTAAATTTAGTTAATTCAAATTAATAAATATAGTCATCTTCTTAAGTGCATCCCTCTTGGAATCATAGTAAAAAAAAATAAAAAAAATATGTATTTAAAGAGAATATATATTTATAAAAATCAAAATATATAGAATTCTTATAAGCTAGAATCAGAATATATCATATATTTAGAAAGAAGTTAATAGTATATATACTTGAAGAGAGTGTACTTAAAGAGATGTGACTATATTTATTATATAAAAAAATATTAATATAATATATGATTAAAGTTTTTAAATAAATTTAAAAAGTAATTATATATTAATAACTAATTAAATTTGCATAAAAATTAATATATATATATATTTTAATACATATAAAAAAGTTTACTTAAAAATATTAATATTATTTTTTAGATTAATTTTATTAGATTAAAAAATCAATTTAAAAAAATTATATATAAAAAGTTTTGTAAAATATCATAAAAAATAATTTTAATTATATTTTTCTTTATTATATAATGAAAATTTTATTAATTTTTATTATAATTTAATAAATATAACTTATTTAAAAGTAATATATAAAATAATATATTAAAATTTTTAAATTTTAATTCAAGTTTATAAAAAGATATTACTAAGATTTTTTATTAAATTATATTATTTTAAATACTAATATATAAATATTTAAAATATTTTTTATTATTTAAATAATAATTATTTTTTTATAAATTTTTATTTAAATTAAAAAAAACTTTTATTTTATATTATATTAATACACAGTGACTCTCTTTATAGAGAATCTTCTTTACAGTAGAGACTAATTAAAATCACATTATAATAAATAAAGATTCAAAATCATCTATAATAAATTCTATCTGATATAGTGTATTTACTAATAAATTTTCAAAAACTCTCAATATAGTAGATTTTTGAGAATTTTTTACTAATAGATTTTTTTTATACACTATAAAGAGAATCACTGTGTATACATACTTTATTTATCAAATATATTATCTTTTTTGTAATAATTTTAATTGAATTATTTCTCTTTAGCTTAGATCTTTATATTATGTTATCTATATAATAAATTAGCTTTTATATTACTTTTTATAAAAATCAATTTCATTCTAAATACATAAATAATCATTTATATATTTAATATATTAGATTTAATATATTATTATATAGATAATTACTAGATATATTCTTATTAATAATTAATATTTTTAATTAGATTTTTTTTAATAATTCTTTTATATAATACATTATAAAAAAATTATAATTACTATTTTTGCTTATATTTAATAAATATTTATTTAATTTATATAAAATTTTAAATATATATACTTGATAATCTAGTAAAAAAATTTACTTAAAAGTATTTAATAGCTTATCTTAATAAAATTTTTCATAATTAATATTTTTTTATTAAATTTTTTTTTAAAAAAATTGATTTTAAAATGCTTTTTTAATCTTTTTTTATTTGTTATTCAATGAATATTTATTTAAATTATATAAAATTTTAAATATATATACTTGA